ATTTAAAATATCTCTAAGCTAATCCAGACATTCCATGAAAATAATTTCTTAAATGTTCACAATACACTTATGCTTTATTCAATCAATGGATTTTTTTATGGTTATCAAAGGAAAAAAAAGTGAGGTAGTACTTCTTAGTTATGCACTCATAATGTTTTGCATTTTCTAAGATATGTATCTCTTTATATAGAGCATCCCTAATTGAACAATTACAATGATTCGTTTTCTTTTCTGTAGCATCTACTTGAGGGGCAATCAGCCATACTGCATTTCCGTTGCCTGGTTATGTGAAAATTCCGAGGCTCAAACTTTTAGCCTCAGGCAAGCTGTAGATCTTATTTTAAATGAAGGTTTTCAGAGAAGTATAACATCTACTATCTAGATGAAGGCGCAGATATATTTTGTCATCTCATTTCCTGCAGGAGAGAACCTAGAGATCTCTCAGAAAGGCTTGAAGGCTGCTGGAGAGAGCGAATGAGCTGGGGACAAGAACCAGAGCCCTGCCAGCCTCTACCCTTCCCACGACAGGACACTGCATCTGTCACCAAATCTGTGGGGGGGGATAGTGCTCCTTAGGCTTCTTGCGAGCCTACATGTCTTGCTGGATGTGTCACGTCTTCAAGGCCCTGAACAGTTCTACCCAGTCCATAGTCCTCAGTGTGGTTTATGCAGCTGGTAAACTTCAGAGATGAAATTTGCCCCAAGTACCAAACTTATTAAGAATGGAGCCAGGCCTGTCATTTCAATGCTTTCAATTATACAATGCATCACATAACCAGTGGCTCTTTCTCCAGGATGGAAAGGAAAATACCCCATTCTTCTCTTCTTTCCTGACAACTCTCTCCACCAACAACCCCAACCACATTTTTTTTAAATTCGAAAAGAAAGGTATGTGTAAGGGTGCATATGACACACACACACACACACACACACACCTAAACCATGTTGTTCACCTGCAGGAATAAATTGCTGAAATCCAATACTGACATCATGGGACACAGAATAAAAAAAAGGTTCTTACTTATTAGCATACAAACAATACAACCAAAAAGACACTAACATCTGTGTAATGGCTAACTTTTTTTTTTTTTTTTTAGTGGCTAGCAATTTATACCTGTGTTCTTCACTCATACTTGTCATATATTCTTTCTAGGATCTTAATTTCTTGGAAAAATCTCTACATTTCTAACAATTATAAGGCACTCCATATTTTTAGTTGGGGCTGCCAAACAGGCTATTTTGAAAGTACAATATGCATTTTCCAGAAGCCCAGTTTAAAGCTGCATGTATTCAATATGTTAGCAATGAGTACTTGTGTATTAACTACAGGTTCTAGGACCCATCACCTTTCATTTCCTGCATTTACTGTCTGAAGTGGGAGGAACAATTTAACAAGGAAACAGCTGTAAGAACAATGAACAAACCCAAAGCCAATTGTCTTTAAAGTTGATTAGTAAAATACACTATGCAACTAATAATTATATCAGGAAACAAAGCCTCATATATGACAGATGTGCTCTAAGTTGACTATGTTCTGCAATGAAGAATACAAAAAGCTAACCTTACAATTAAAAAACCGCTATACCAACACAATGGACTATAGAACATATATTTCCCTTGCCCATTCCACTTTTCTGGAAACAAACTAATAGGAGCTAACTGGAATTTAAAATACTTATTTTATACTTTGACAGTGTCCCACTTATCTCCTTCTTTCTTTTCCTCCTATAAACATGACTGCAAACTAAAAAAACCACAACAAACTAAAACAGCAAGTATATCAGTTTTCTATTGCTTCATATCACAAGGTTTGACACACTTGGTGGCTTAAAACAAGAGAAAGGTATTAGCACACAGTCTGTAGGTCAGAAACCCAGGCACACTATGACTGCCTTCTCTGTTCAGGGTCTGATGAGGCAGGAATCAAGGTGTCCGCCCAACTGCATCCCTACCTGGGGGTTCTGGGGAGAATCTGTTTCCAAACTCACTCATGTTGGTTGCTGAATTCAATTCCTTGTGATTGTACAGCTCAGGTCCCTGTTTCCTTGCTGGCGGCTGCATTCTGAGCGTTGGATTTCCCCCCATGTTCAAAGTCAATGGAGAGCCTGCCTCCCATGGAATCCCTCTGACACTGACTCTCTTGCGCCTGAGAGCCCAGTCCCTTTTAAGAGTTCACCTGATTAGCTCGGGACCACAAAGGCAATCTCCCTATCTTAAGGTGAGCTGATTTGACACCTCAATTACCTGAGCAAAACCCTCTACAGCTGTGCTGAGATTAGTGTTCCACTGCCTAACCGGAAGGTGTGCGTGCACCAGTGGGAATCTTGGGGGCCATTTCAAAAATGTTTCCTACAACAGGCAAATCAGGATTCTAATGTCTCCAACAGGAATTAACAGGTTACTTTACTTGACCACCATATTGGATTTGAATAGCTTCTAAAAATAAACTTTATTGATGTCTGCTATTCGGGCTTAAAAGATAAAGAAAAGCAACATGGAAATAAGAATTCTAAAAGCCAACTGCAATTATTTTAAAAATGTCTTCCAATTTTAGTCATTGATATATCTCATTAAGATAGCCTTGTAATTTTAAAATTCTCTTTAATCTAAGGGTTAAACAGTGAAAATAACGCTCCATGAAGGATTAAGGAGGCATTAATGATATGGGGATACTGACATGCTATTATTTGACAATGACAATGATAATTTTCATATTATAAGCCATTACCCTGAATTAAGAAAACCATCCAGAAAGAAGTAAGACTACATTGAAGACCGGCACAGGAAAAGCTACCAGGATAGGAGTATCCCATTAGGTTGTTAATGTAAAAGTGTACTTTTCTAGATTGTAAAATGTATCTTTTATTGTTCCCCCTTTCTTTCTGATAATCTTTAGCATTAGTTAACTAACGTAAAGAAGTACAGATTGATGTGTTAAGTAACCTGGTTCTCATCCCACTGTGACTTTAACCACATATGCAATTTTAAATGGCATTTATCTCATAAAATCATTTCAGAATTTTATACCTTAAATGGACCTTTGAGATCACAGTCTTTTTGTTCCACCCAGCTCTAGACATATTTACCCAAATATCAACTTTTAAACAGAAAATATTCCACCTAGTTAAAGAAATGTGATATTTGAATGGATATAACAGGATTTTTGGTTTCCTGGTTGGAATAAGTTATTTTTATTACTTTTAATTTTAGATTAAGCTTCAGAAGATGTTTTAGCATTTCATTAAATGAAGCATCTTGATCCGGGCTCCTAAACCCCTTGCGATGCAATACACTATTCTTTTGCTTATGTTTGCATACATGTATTCTTTCTATCAGTTAAAAGAATTTTATCTTACAAAATTATAGATACTTCCAAATTCAAAGCTTAATGTATTAAAATCAATTCAGTTTTCCTGTAAAAATGAGGCCTTGTCATCCTCCTTTGCATAATGTGCAAAAAAGTGAGAAGGCAGAATTCACAATCATGTTACTCTGAACTTTAATGTTGATTGACATTCCTGAATCTCTGACATAACTTAATACAATTCACATTTACTGTGAGTTTATGATATATCGGATTTTGTACCAGACTGTAAGTTTCCCAGGGGCATTTTTTTCATCCTCAACACATAGCACAATGTTTAGTACTTAGTAGGTTTTGAAAATGTTTCCAGAACGAGTATAAAAAATGCACAGGTCCTGCTTTCAAGGAGCTTACAATCTAGTGCAGCGGTTCTCAATCTGTGGGTGGCGACCCCTTTGGGGGTCGAACGACCCTTTCACAGGGGTTGCCTAAGACCATCATAACAGTAGCAAAATTACAGTTATAGAGTAGCAATGAAAATAATTTTATGGTTGGGGGTCACAACATGAGGAACTGTATTAAGGGGTCGCGGCATTAGAAAGGTTGAGAACCGCTGATCTAGTGGGAAAGATGGGTTTTAGCCCAGGGAGACCCATTTCAGACTTCTAACCTACAGAACTGTAAGATAATAAACATGTGTTGTTTTAAGCCACTAAATGTGTGCTAACATGTTATGGTAGCAACAGGAAACTAATTCAGGGTCACAGCCTTGGCTTTGGCTCTGAAAAGGCTTCACCGTGCTGGCATTTCACGAGAAATGAAGGGTTTGGTGCAGTGAAGGAAAACAGGTGCTGTTAGTTAAATTCTTGCTCCTCAAAGTGTGGCCCCTTTGGTGCAGCACCGGTGGAAACTGGCCTTTTCTTTGGAAATGCAAAATGTCAGGCTTGACCCCCAAACTACTGAACCAGAGTAGCCACTTTAACAAGATGCCCAGGTGATTTGCATTCATATTAAACTGTGAGAAGCACTAAATTAAGTGTTAAAAACTAAAATGTGGAGAAATCTTTGATTCTTCTTTTCAACACACAAGTTTGCTGGAAAGAAATATTTAAACACACCCACCCAAAGAAGAATGCTAGGTTGTTGTCTGTTACTACTGACAAAGCATAAGCATTTCTACTGCTCTGAAATCATGAAGGAGGCCCTTTAGTAAAATCCACTTACCCCTGCCTGCAAAAGATTTCCCTTCTTTGAAAATTCCCATGAATTGAAAGATTATAAATGTCAAAAATTTTATACCTTTAAATAAATATTAGAATCCCTGGAACAGTACTCATAGAGCCATCTTGTAGGGGACAAAATAATTTCATTCACATAATACATTTTCTTTAATTACTTTAATATAAAAGACAGCAATGTTCTATATTTCACATAATATTTAAAAGTATTAAAACCCTCTAATAAGTGTTTAATGAAAATAAATTTATTGAAGGGTAGCAATGACTACAAAATTAATACTACAAAATCATTACTGGTGCCATTGTAATTGAAGGGTAGGTAGAGAAAATATCAAACAAAAATATGTTTTAAAACTGCATTTTACGGCCAGCCGAGTAGCTCAGTTGGTTAAGTGCTCACTCAAGAGTGCAAGCTCTGAGCAATAGCAGTTCGATGACCAGCCCGAGCTGAGCTGCCAACAGGTGGCAGGATGGCTCACTAAAAAAAAAAAAAAAAAAAGAAGAGCAGGAAAAAAACAAAACAAAACTGCATTTTATCCAGCCTTTATCCTTTTGCTAAATCTTGTGCATATTAGAAGATGTATTCAAGATGGTTGTAAAGATAGTCAGCTAAAGTAGATACCTCAAGGATTTAAAACAGCCCTCTAGTAATTATGTGGCATTGCAAATCATCCCATCTGTTTACAAAATTAAAACAAGTAATGACCCAATGAGTCTCTCTAGGAAAAGATTCAGCTAAAAAAGAGAACATCAACAGAGAATTAGTGATGGTAACCAGAATATGAAAATTAGCATAATCAAGAAAGATATATAATTATTCAACATAATTTCCTCTGGTTAGATCAGTGCAACTCACTCTGTAAGTTGACTGCACTGTGAGGGAAAAGAGTAATAGGAGTTAGAGTCCTGTTCTGAAATTCTTTTTAAATTGAAATAATAATCCTATTTCAATCAACCTGTAAAGTAAAAACACTGAATCCACATTAACATTATAACATAATCTTACAATACAAAAGTCAAACTATTATCAATGCATCTTTTTCTCTACAGTGCACAAAAGAAAATGTCACAAGAGTGCACTTTTGAAAGTTACGATCAATGTATACAGTATAGACAAAACAGGCACCTCCATTACGATTTTATTTTTTTAATAAATAAAAGCACATTAAGAAAAAAAGGTAAGCAGCACCTGAAGCCTTTGACATTTGTAACTAAATGCTGGTACCCGAATGGTCTAACTGGTTAAGTTTTACTAAGAGGCGCAAAAAAAGAGCCAATTTTTGACTTGACATTTTAATTCTAGTAGAGACAAGAGCTTGTCTGGTCACAGTCCTGTCACCTGATGGTGAGTGGCATACCAGTCCTTCAAATGTCCTATACTTTGGAAAGCAGACCCGACTCAGGAGCACTCGCCTTAATTAGATTCTGAACTTCCTTGAATTTGGGATGGTCTTTATCAGCCACCAGCTGTAGCAGAACAGCCTCACTCGTGGTCACTATGATCCCAGTTCGAGCAAGACGCTTAAAAAAAAAAAAGATAAAGACAAATCAAGAAGTAAGCATGAGAATGAACACTATATTAAATCAGCAAACAGTAGCTGGCACACAATAATTAGTGTCCTTTATTAAAACCAGGGTCCTGAGCCATACTACCTAATTCAATGATGCAGACAGATTTTAAACCAGCCACACCCCAAACCCATTGTGACTATTCTCAGTATTAGTAATATGAGCTAGAAACAAGTAAAAAAAAACAGGCTGTCAATATTATGATTTCTATGTGCCAGAGATAGAAGGGAAATCAAAGCTAATGACTGTAAAACAATGCTTCTAATTTTTTTTTTCTGTCTGCAAACATCTGACATAGAGCCTGTGTGTCCTTCCACTAAGTAAGAAATGACTGGTGACAGAAGAGCCTCGCGTGGAGCTGCGAATGTGCTCCTGGATGGTAACAGAACCACCGCCACTGCCACAACCATCCACTTTTTTAGAATCACTAAACCGGAGTATAAAGGTTCCCTGAGAGGTCAAAGAATGTCTTTGCCAAATTGCTCCAGCGGAAATCACAGTAAAGAACCAAGGACAGAAATCTCAAAGAGGGGGAGGAGGGAGAGGGGGAGGAGGGAGAGAGTGGAGGAGGGAGGGAGACAGAAGCCAGAGGAAGGGAGGAGAGCAAAGAAGAGAAAGCGGAGGGAAAGGGGGAGGGGAGGGAGGCGTGGGGTGAGAATTCTAGAGTAAAGATTATTCTCTGGATGTATGTGTTATCAGAAATCCGAGGCAAAAGAACTGGCCAACTGGTATCCCAAGAAACACCCACTATAAGCACCATGGAAGATGAGGTATTTAGAAAAATTCCCAGGCAAGTCAAAGGAAAAGACCCAGATCAGTCTCTCATCATAAGCGTCACTGGAGTAGCCAGGGCATCCCTGTGGAGTGCCAGTCCTCCTTCAGATGGCTGGAGAGCCACAGGCCCGGCCTGCCCACTGGCAGACTCTTTTTATCCCCAAGGACACAGACGGGCATATAAGCTGTAGCTGTAGCTGAGTTATCAGAAAGCAAGCTTGGCCCTCAACAACCAGAACAAAAACAGTGTGCAGAGCAGCTGACCAGAACTCAGCAGGGAAAAACGTGAGAAGAGGAAGAAAAAAGCCAGGCTGCTAGTGCCCTTCATGTTGGGACAAATATCAGAAGGTGAGCTGTCTCTGAGTTTTTTAAAGACTTCTGGAAATGAATTTCCTTCTCCTTATTTTTCAGTCAACTCCTGACTATCACATCAAAATGCTTAGAAATTGCAAAGGACTGTGTGCCTGCTTCAGGCAGAAGGGCAGGGAACAAATCTAAGACTAGCTGCGGCTCAGCTGTGTGAACGTCCTGGCAGTCTTGCCAGCCCAGCTCTCGCCCTCACCAGCTGGCTGTCCCTGCGCTGTCTTCTTCACCACTCAATCATTGCTGATGGTTTTCAATATTCAACTGGAATCTGAATCACATACTTGTCAGTAAAAGTGCTTTATATACTCCAAAGTGCCAACAAAAGTCAGTTGTCACTAATCTTTCGAGTTCCTTAGTGAGGCAGGAACTAGAAAGCTGTTCCCAGGTCTGAGGGAGAAATCTGATGACCCGGGAAGGAGCCAGCTTTCCCCAGAGCTCTGTTGGCCCAAACCTGGTCCACTCTAAGCCAACAACCCTCAGTGATGCCGAGTCAGGTCACTGTGGCAGGGCCGCCCCAGGCACAGAAACATAGTTTAGTAAACTGAAACCCACACAGTGTTACGGGGCTTCAAGACTGAGGTATGGCCACTACTGATTGGATTACAAAACAATCAAGCGCAGAACCTGTGTTTTGGAAGGTGTAGCTCACCAAAAGCAAGGTTTTTAGATGAGGCTCGAAGGCCTTCCTATAATGCCCACTGAGCCCCGACCTGAAAGGGTGCCCGGGCAGGGAGAGAACAGCAGCAGCTTTTCCCGACACTGGCAGGTTCCCGTCCACCACCCTGAGCTATGAGGACACCTACAATACTGGTCCCAAACTCACTCTTCCCTGGCTTAAAAGGGGCAGTTAAAACTCCAACGGTCTAACACAGGTACGTGGCTAACAGGCTTCCATAGTTCTTCCCTTACACTTGCAGCATCAGTCCAACTAGGCCAAGGGAAAGGAAAGGTTACTCTGGCCCACACTGAAAAACACAAGAGCACAAAGGCATGACAGCAAGAGCCGGGGGGAGGGGGGATGCTGGAGACAAACCCATTAAATAGCCAAGTAACACTAACAACTCCTCAGGAGTACAAGGACGTCAAGTCCAAGCGAGGGCTTTATTCTATCTGATGCTGCATTTACTCTCCAATTATTAGCTGAAAGCAACAATGCCTGACAGATGGCAGGTGCTCAAAATCTTTTTGTTGAGTCAAGCACATACCACAGACCCTGGCGCAGAAGTTTCAGTAATAATAACTATAAACTTTTTAGTATAATACTCTTAACAGGCAGTATGGATGGTCAGTAATTATCTTTAGGAGTTGTGTTCTAAAGCAAAAGAGAAGGGGAGCTGGCCAAGTTGCTATTTAACTTTCACAGTCATAGCATAAAAAAGAAACCATATCTCCCAACCATTTAGGGGCAACTTAAAACACCTCCATATCAAATTTAGACGAAGAAGAAAAATCAGAAACGCGCATCCCTCCCGCCATCACCACCTGACCTGATTCTTTTTCCCCTTTCACCCTCAACCCTTTAAGCCAAGGCCACGCTGTTTGCTCCACGCTCTCCCAAAGCCACCCAGACCATAGTCTTTCCTTCCCTCCTAGAACCTCTCAGAACTAGCCCCTTCTGGGTCTTAGAAGCTAATACACGTTTATACAATACATTTCTGATAACACCAACCTCATGAAGACAACAAGAGATAATGACAACAACAATAAGAGCAGCAGCAAACATCTGAGTGTTTACTGTGTCAGGCACTGTACTAAGTGCCATCAATACACGATCTCATTTGATCCTCACAAAAACCCTCCCATGCGGTGGCTATTATGATTTCCATCTCACCAGTGAGCAATCTGAGGCATAGCTAGCAGATCACATTCCCAGGACGCAAATTTACAAAATGCTTGCACCAGCTGGCATTCAAACCTGTCTGATCCCTCCACTGTTTGGCTCCTAGTCACTGGGGTTACAGGCTACCTCTCAGAGAATAAGGTTCAGATGGTGAATAGCTGACTATGTTTTTATTCTGAGCCTTATGAGAAGACGGAATTGTCAACAATCAGAATCTTCTGTAATAAATGTCATCATAGAGACCTGACTGCAGAACGTAAGTCCTTGAAATGTCTTTAACAAGCCAGGAGGATTTTTGCTTTTTCTCTGTTTTCAGTTTTCACTTCCTTGGAAACAGTTCAAGTTTTGGACCTCAGCATTAGCAGGAAGATAAACTACCCCCCGAGGAAAAGAGCTGCTTGTCAAGATGGTGAGGATCTGACAGCGGGAGTGTTTCAACTCAAAGTACTACGGGAATTTGAAAAGTGGAAGTTCATGAACTCATAGCTGTAAGAAGAGCTTAAAGATCTTTGCTGAGATGGGAAAAAGCAACACTTAGAACCTAACTACCAGAGAACCCAACGGTCCAAACGGACTTCAAAACAGTTAAGCAAAATGAGTAATCCCAAAATAGGACTCACTGCTTCAGGAATAAAACAGAGAAGAGACGGCCAACCAGGGCCTTAAAACAACTGCTGCTGCCGCCTGCCCACCTGCTCTGGCATCAGGCCCCCCACACCAACCTTCCTTCCTCTAACTTCCTCATGGGCCCTGCCTCACCACCCTAGGGAACACTTTAGGCTAAAAAGATGATTAAGAAATCCTACAGAGCAAGTGCTTCACAGGCCAGCTTGTGCATGGAACACGGGAGGGTCTCAAAAAAATCTATTATTTCTCATTCTCAATAAAAATAATCAGGTAAAGAACTGAGCAACTCAATCCACATGTACATTATTCTAAAATTATTACTGAATTAGAATTAAACATGAAAGAGAGAGACAGAGAGAGAGAGAGAGAGAGAGAGAGAGAGAGAGAGAGAG